TTTTCCAGTTTGACTGTCTGGTCAAGTCCAGTTTTCAAAACCTTGTGTGAAATGCCTCAACTCATTATTAACTTGGACAATTAAACCGTTCAAACCATCTCCCAACCTTGTTTTTTGGGTCTAGTTTTCCTAAAACCTAAGATTTGACCAAAAAACATTAACTTGGTAAAACCCTATTTTGACCTGGGCAATTAAACCATTGACCCATTCAACTGAGTCAATAGGTAAAAAGTTACACACCACATGTGTATGAAAACTTCTGGAGTCCACAACTTTGTGCTTAGTTGTCCAATTTGGGTGATTCTTTTATTTTGGGTAAATTTTTCAAGATCTATGCATTTCTAAGGAGCCGATGGCACCTTGTCCCACTATTTTTGCAAAAAAAAAACCTTTTTTGGCCTCAAAATCCCATAAAATAATATATGCAAATATACATATATTACATTTAGAATGTAACTACATTATTTAATTGATGAAATACATGTTTATATATATACATACATACATGCATACATCCAAGGGCCAAAAACAGCTCAGCCTCCAAGTGTACAACCCCCTCCAAAAAATATACTAATAAGAAGAAAAAGACAACAACAAAATGATAAATTATATGAACTCACAAAAGTTGGCTCAATCATGTGTAGCCAAAGAGTTCAAATTCAAGCTCCAATGATTAATCATTCAACATTTTTGCAAGTCTAATGATAATAGAACTCCGAGGTGAGCAAATGTATCTACCCTTTGACTCAGGGTGTTCAAGCAAGTATATTAGAACATTACAAAGGTCTGGGTACACAAAATTGGCTTGCTTTATAAATTGGGTAATTAGATTCAGTCCCTTGAAGAAACATAGTAAAGAAATTTTGGGTCCGTTTGGATTGCAGTTGGAATCGGAATTAGAATGGTCTATTCTTATAGTTTATTTGATTCAGACAGGAATGAGAATAAGAATTGGAATCAACAAAAATGAGATTTCATTCTCAAGGGAGGGGCAGGGAATGACCATTCCGTCAAATGGGGAAATACCATTCCAGCAAGAATAAGAATGTGATTCCAATTTCATCCAACCAAACAGTTGGAATAGAAAATAACCCATTCCAATGTTGTGAGTCAGAACTTGAACCGAACAAGCTTAAAAACAAACTGGAATGATTCAACTTTATTGATCAACAACTTTGGCTAATAAATAGCCTTTACAATAACTAATTGAGAGAAAAAATAGCCGATGTTTTACACTAACGGATAAAGAACAGAGAAAGAGTCAAAGYTGGAAACTACCTACTTAATAGGGATTTATTAAACAGAACGAATCTAAACAATAATGAAATTTAAACCTTGACACCCTCCCTTAAACTAACTGCTAACAGCAATTAGTTTACATCTGGAACTTCACAAACACCCATGAGCTTCCTCAGCTTCAAAAACGTGTCAATCTTGAGAGGCTTAGTCATCATGTTTGCAATCTAATCTTGTGTGCCACAATGAACTAACTCCACTACTCCTTCTTTAGTAAGATCATGCAAAAAATGAAAGCGAACATCTATGTGTTTGCTTTGTCCATGCATTACTGGATTCTTTGATAATTTAATTGTTGAGCTATTGTCACAAAACACAGTAGTACAATTACCTTGTGTATGACTGAGTTTCTCCAAGATTCTCCTCATCCAAACAGCTTCACATGTACAGGATGTTGCGGCTATGAACTCAGCTTCAATTGTGGAGAGTGAAACAATAGGCTGTTTTTTTTAGGCCCAAGACACAGCCCCAAAACTCAACATGAATACATACCCCGATGTGCTTTTCCTATCCTCCAAATCACCGGCATAGTCACTATCAGTAAAAGCAACCAGTTTATCACTCCCTCCCTTCTTGTAGAAGATCCCAAGATTTGTTGTGCCTTGCAAATATCTTAACACCCTCTTTGCAATCTATAAGTGAAGCTCAGTTGGCTGCTCCATGTATCTACTAATTAAACTTACTACAAACATCAGGTCAGGTCGAGTTGCTGTTAGATACATGAGACTCCCTACTACTTGCTTGAAGAATGTTGCATCAACTTTGACTCCATTTTCGTCTTTGAAGACTTTAAAACCTGGAACAATCGGATTATAGACAAAATTGCTTTCCTCCATCCCAAATCTTTTCAGCACATTTAAAACATATTTCTTTTGTCTGATATAAATGCCATCAGTCTTTTGCAATACTTCAACTCCAAGAAAATACCTCATCTTTCCCAAATCAGTCATATCAAATTCACGCATCATAGAGCTCTTGAACTCATAAAACATTGATTCATCATTTCCAGTAAAA